TTCTTTCTGCTTGGAGATTTGCTTACTTGCCTGTCAACTATTAACAGATCTTTTTTCCATTATCTTCTCTAATCTGTTTTTGAAAGGTATCTAAGTAATTAGTTACCATAATTACTGGTATGGAGAAGAGGTGTTGTAAGGTTGGGCCTCCGCAAGGTTTAGGTTCTGGAACTGGGAGATTAGGGTGGGCAACTTGCAGCCAACCCAAGCAGTTCCAAAGCTGGAACACAAGCCTAACTAAAGATGAGACTCGGGCAGCAATCTGGGATTAAAAGGGTCAGAAGCAGAACAAGCATTCCAGTGTAGCCACTGAGAAGGATTGGAGTTTAGGCTTTGAAAGGAAGTTGCCCGGACTGCAAACAGTGTTGCAGCTAGAGTCACTTGGAGCTTGGTGGGTCAAGATCTGTCCCTTGAGGGAGCGCCTGATGAATTGCAGCTATGCAGCCAGGTTGAGACTGCATCCTAGGGGGTTTGCCGATTAAAAAAGGTTAAACATGGGAAGAAGAGAACCATGTTGCAACTTTAAAGAGGGAGGAGAGATAATGAAGTGTGTTTGTAACTACTGTAAAGAAGATGAAAGTTGCTTCTTTACATATGTAATGTGTAGTTGGCCTGTCTCGAGTTGTGAGAGCAGCTTCCTCTTCACTGTGTTGAAGCGTTGGTAACTAGCTGTTTCTCAGTTAGTGTGGATGTAGGTCTTCTGTCCATCCATAGTTTCCTCATATGTTTAATATATCTCCTCTCATTCGGTTTACTGTTGTGGTAGCATTCCATCAATTCCAGGATCTCTTGTCTCGTCCATGTATGGTTTGTTCCAGTAGCCCGCCTATTGTCAGATTGTCCTGGTTCCCCAACATCTGGCACAGACCTTGTTAATCTGGTCGATGTCTGAGCCTACATGATTCTTAGTTTGTGTCATTCTCGTATCTGAGGTAGGTAGGTAAAGCATTAGGGGGCCTTTGCCCAAGGAACCCTACTGGTAAGGTAGGGATTTGAACCCTGGTCTCCTGCATCAAAGGGTGGCGCTTTAACCACTATGCTATCCATAGATAGAGAGAGAGAGAGAGAGAGAGAGAGAGATGACTGCATCCTGAGTGCATAGAGACCTTCAGGATTTCCATGATAACCCGTATATGCAGGTCCCACCCCCTTCGCCCCCACCCCGTTTCTATCTGCTGCTTTTTGACAAGGGTTCTTGAGTGAGTGGCTGATGACTTTCAGGAGGGCTGGGTATAACTTCCAGAGACGTTGCCATGCCAATGATGGCCAAGGCTGCTTCCTCTTCTCCACCCAACCGCCACAAGAGGAAGTAAAATATAATACCTTCTGCCCTGCCCGTGGCCCCTCTGAAGTTTGGAAGGAGAAAATGAAAGCCACAGGCTGAGAGAGTGCAGCTGATAGCACTGCAGAAGAATTACAAAACCCGACCAAACCAGCTCTGGAGCACAGTCAGAGTCATGTTTTGTCCCCTGAGAGTGTGCCTCGCTGGGCCGGGCCAAGGCGCCAGCTTGAAAGTTGTCCCTTTGGCCATGTAAGGGAGCCCGGAGCACTCTGGGTGCCTATTTTGGGAATGTGCACGGGCTTGTCATTTCAACTCCAGTGCCACAGGGCAGACTGTGGCTGTCTCTTCAGCTGCTGGCTCCATATGTGTGCGTGAAGAAAGGAGAACCGTCCCAGGCCTGCAACTGTAGGGCCCTGATGAAAATTTGCATAGCGTAGCAGCTGCCACTGCAAGGAGGCTCGGCTGAATGCCAGACTCGCCTCTCTCTCTCTCTCTCTCTCTCTCTCTCTCTCCCCCACCACAAAACCTCCCCGGTGCCAAAAGCTTTCAAGATAAACAACAGAGTGGGACCAAAAGCTTTCAAGATAAACAACAGAGTGGGACCGTGAGGCATCTACCTCTTGTCTGTCACAGCAGGGCCTACAGTGTGCAACTGAGCCTATTTGGGATTCAGGGCGAGTTTTGGTGAGATGAGAAAGGAAGCTTAAGAAGAGATCAAAGCCTGCCAGGTGGAGCCCACCAATTCTAAACTAATTGAAAGATGGTGTGACATAATGACTAAAGCTGTTAGCACCCTTTGGCAGCATCCCACCTGAACCATAGTTTGAAGAGCGCCCTTTGGAAATCTGCTGCTTTCTCAGACTTGGCTCGCCGTCTGAACAAGCAGGAGTCCTAAGAGCGGCTTATCTCAGTGGGCTGTTGTAATATAAAGATTACACTAGGAAGCCCTTCAAGTGCTCTGCAGTTAGGGGCAGGTCATCTGTGGTAATCTGCGGCTGTTAAGGTCAGTAGCCAGAGATCCAAGGGCCTGAACTCCATCAATGTCTGGGCCGCCTCAAGTTGCCTTTCCTGCTCTGAATAGTAGCCACTGTTCTTTGGCTGGTGTGATATTCTGCCGTTCTGACGGGGTGAAACTTGAGAGAGAAGTCTGTCCAGCTTGCAGGCGATCTCCCGTGCAGGTAATCACTTCTGATTTTCCAAGGTGATTGCCTGTAGTTTTGACCCCAGTAATTTATCTTTTTAAATATTTAAGGGGTCTACTTTTCACCCCACAAATAACATTAGATTGACGCAAGTAAAGAAGTGATTGTTTTGGTTTTGGTTTTGGCTTTTTCATTTTTTTTTAAACCCATTTGTTGTTGTGGGTTTGGTTCCCACATCAGTGTGTGTTAATCTTATTTAGCAGGGAATTGAGATCTTTCTGCATGGCCAGACTTTCAGTTTGTTTTATTTCCTGCTTGCTTATTGATTTGTTTTCTTCCTTTTAGCACTTTCTGATATATGTATATAATTGTTCTGATAATCTGTTTACATCTAATTTTATAAACAATATGTACATGGTTTAAAAGTAAAAATTCAGATCTTGCATTAGGCATTCTGATGTAGGTGGCTGTCTTTCTCCTGCCCTTTACCTTTTCTGGAAAATCTTTGAAGCAAAATCATGATTGCTATCACAGTGTTGCCACTGTCTGGAAGACGAAATGCTTGGGACGCCATCAGAACCACCTAGTCCCATATTTTTCCAGCGTATACCCATATTTTTGACATATCTACACTGGGCAGTATTCTAAGCAGGATAAGGGCTGAAGCTGGTAAGGTAAGAACCAAAGGTTTTCAGACGAGGGAGAAGCATTAACGTAAGCTTGGAGCAGGTAGCTTCCAATCTCAAGGCCAGGAGGAAAATGGTCACATTTCTGCGGAATTGAAAAGGCAGGAAGGAAAGGCCTAGAATTTGAAACCCTACAGCAGGCATATATGGCAGGCTTGATTTCCATGTTCTGCAGTAGCAGATCTTCAGCATGTACATGGTTTGTATCTTGTCTGCAGTTAAACAACTTATCTAACTGTGTTGTGTCTGTGAAGCGTCTCCTGTAAGTTCTAGAATACAGGGTGAAGTGTCTGGGTAGTTCAAATTTATTGCTGTGCCTGGTGTGAATTCTAACAAGAGTTAGAATTTGACGTTTTGGCAAGCTGTCAAGGACTTTGCTTGTATATGAGGCTGTCTTTCCAGAGCTCCATGTCTTTCAGAAGTGAGGTGCACAGCTAATACAGGAAAGGCCTTTTCTGCTGTGGCCTTCAGACTCAGAACATCACAAACATCCCAAATCTGTAGGTGTCTTCACATTTGATAGGTACCTATTGAAAATACGTTTCTTTTCCCAAGATCTCAGTGTTTATTTTGGTGTCTGTACAATGTTGTTTGCTTATGTTCTCTCTTTGTGGTTGTAACTGAATTGTTTTATCATTTGTTGTAAGCCTTTTGACAAGCTTGATTGTGGCTGAAAGGTTCAGAAATAAATATTTTAAGTAAATAAAAACGAACTCTGCAGGCCACTTACTTTGCTTTCCCAATCCACATAGTTTTGGCTCTGGTTTGGCAAGGAACTATGGTATCTCTCTTTTTTCATGGTTTCTGTTCCATTGGTCAGAGTTTACTTGCTCCATTTGTGCTTTATCTGCCTACCAGTACGTAAGGTCTGCTGTTCAGCCTTGTGGCTCATTGTAGAGCATTTATGGCCCAGCTCCAGTAGCGTGTGTGTGTTACGTGCTTCCTTTCCTTCCCTAATTATGTCTCCTTGCGTACACTAAATTATGTCTCCAGTTAAATAGTCAGGTCCTATTTTTTCCTCTGTTCTGGAAATCCCCCAGCATGCTCAAGGACCTATGAATGAAATATTAATTAGCAACATGGATAAATGAGGGAATCCCTTTGAGTCAATAATTGGACAATCTTGGTTATACCATATAGGTGCGTTCTTAAATAGGGAGAGATCTTTGAAAAGAGGAGCAAACATAAGCATTGGAAAAAGTCCCAGGGACCTGGTTTCCCAAACTTCTTGTAGCCCTGTCCAGCAACTAGTTTTGCTGGGTGAGGGGGTTGAGGACATACGATTGCCCCCTCCTTCTTTTTCCTACAAAGTAGTAGTAAATCACTTCCTTTCCAATCTGTTTTAATCTTGGGCCTAGCTGAATGCCACATTTGATATGAGGCCTCCAGTTATCCAACTACCCTTTGCTGCTAACACGTAACAAGTATCATATTTTTTTTTTTCACAATCTTTGCTATTTCTACTGCATTCTAGAATAGAATTTTTGTTTCTATCCTCCTTTTCTCATTAACCCCAAGAGATCATGCTTAAAGCTTTTGTCTTTTTTTTTTTTTTTTAATGTAAAACTGTATCTTCTGTCACAGTGGGTCTTCCTCTTCATTCTCTGCTTTCAGTTCCTGCCGTGGCAGGGTCTTTTCCTCTTTTCCTCAGCTGCGGTTTCCAGTCTTAGAGTATTTGTGAACAAGACCTGTGTTCCCCTCGTCAGTAGCTCCATTTGCAAAAAATACCTAAGGCTGTCCGTGTGATGTACATATTTTACGGCCCTGGCCCTACAATATTGGACCTTTTTTCCTGCTCCACCCACATAAAAAAAACTTGAGAATGAGTACATTTTTCTTTATTACCTGGATGCTTTAAAGTTGTTGTTTTTTTTTAATTTTATTTCATAGGACCCGTCAAAGCTGTACAAGAAAAGCGGAGAAGCTGGTGCAACGGTTGAAAGCTTGCTTGCTGATAGCAGAACAAGAGAAAGCAGCCCAGCTTTGAAGAAGCTTTCCCCACTGCGTTCAGAAGGGGCAGAGTATGGGAAATCAGTCCTCTCCGCTCCGGTCAGTGGCCGTGATCCAGACTTGAAAGAGAGAGCCCAGGCCAACGGAGCACCGACGGTAACAGAGAAACTGGCCCAGCTTATAGCCACCTGCCCTCCAGCAAAGTCTTCCAAAGCAAAGCAGAAGAAGCCACCCATGACCATCGTATCTGGATTCGCTAAGGATTCCGGAAAGAAGCCGCCAGTGGTTGGGGCCACAGCATCTTCTGTTGGCAAGGACTTCCTAAAGAAACCATCTGGAAGTGGCATGATCGGCCTTGATTTGGGCAACAAGGAGTTTGCAAAGAAACCACCAGCGACTGGTGGTGGTGGTTTAATTAGTAAGGAAAATGGGAGCAAAAAGCAGCCAGGAGCCTGCCCAAGCACGGTTGGGCTCATTAACAAGGATTGTGGGAAAAAGCCACCGGTCCTTAACTCTCCAGTGGGACTGGTCAGCAAGGAAGCTGGAAGGAAGCCGCTTGTGACAAGCATGCCAGTCGGAATGGCCAGCAAAGACGCTGGAAAAAGGCTGCTTGGGACCAGCAGTCCTATCGGACTGGTGAATAAGGAACCTGGGAAAAAATTGCTAGGCATCGTCAGTCCACCCGGATTGATTAATAAAGACTCAGTAAAAAGGCTTCCGTTGCCAGGGAGTGCAGCTGGATTATTTAATAAGGACGTTGCAAAGAGACACCTGGGGTCCGACAGCCCTGTCGGATCAGTTATCAAGGACTCTGGAAAGAAGCCGCCAGGTTTCGGTACCTCAAGCGGATTGATTAACAAAGACTCTGGAAAGAAGCCTTTGGGGGCCAATGGCCCAATTGGGTTGATGGTTAAAGAGTCTGGAAAGAAGCCTTTGGGGATGGGCATTATGGTCTCTTTGACTTCGAAGGACTCTGGAAAGAAATTGGCAGGGAGCACCAATTTATGTGGGCTAGCCAGCAAGGACTTGGGGGCTCTGAAAGCTGATACCGCTAACCCTCCTGCCGAGCCTTACAAGCGGTGTTGTGGCAGCAACCTGGTGACCCTGGAAAGCCATGTCCCTACAGGCCTTCTGAAGGACGGGGCCGGCAGTAAACCTTTTGAAAAGCACGCGGCGAGACCGAATAAAGACAGCATCCCCGAAAAGTTGCCGGTACAACGAGAAGTTTCCGGTGGAGGCAAAGAAGGGGTCTGCAGTCAGCAAGATAGCTCCTCCAGTGAAAGGGGGACTTCCGAATCGTCGAAGCAAGAGAAACATCTCCCAGTGTATTGCACTTCTCCTGAGTTCAGGACAGCAGGAGGCGCATCGGATATGTCTACTGCCAAGTCCCCGTTCAGTGCTGTGGGGGAGGGGGGTCTCCCCTCCCCCTCCCCAACCGCATCTGTCACTACTTTAACCCACAGCCCCACCACGACTTTGTCTCACGTAGCTCCCAACCCGCTGCATTCAAACAACACGCCTGAGCTCTTAGACGGCCTTTCCGGGCAGAGCAGCAAGACTCCGTCTGCCTCCGACGGTGCACGCTCCGGTATGAACAGGCTGGTGAATCCTGGGTTGTACGCGACCAGCAAAGGGGTTTGTAGGGAGACAAGCAGTTCTAACTCTGCCTGCATGGACGATTCCAAACTGGGTCCTGCTATAGGCAAAAAAGCCAGCACGGCCACTGAATCAAACATCCACGTTTCAATCGCCCCTTCGGTGGTCAGCTTCTCCAGCTTGTTCAACAGTAAGCCCTTTCTAAAGATGGGAGCTGTGAGTTCACTAGGGAAACCGAGGCAAGGCCTGGAGACCCTGAGGAGCAGCAGTAGCACTGACTCACAGAGCAAGCCCTTAAAGAAAAGGAAAGGGAGGAAGCCCCGTTGGACTAAAGTCGTGTCGAGGAGCGCCTGTCGGTCTCCCAAAGATCTCGAGTTAGGAAGGCCCGAGCTTTTAAAAAACCTTTCTTGCGGCGTGCTGTCAAACAGTAGCCTGGATCAGGCCAAGCTCTTTGAAAGCACAGGCCCACCTTCCTTTGCGGAGCATGAGTTCCTCAAGCGTCATTTGCCCAAGCTGAGCAAAACCAGCAGCATGCAGTCTCTCTCTCTGCTCAGTAGCATGGAGAAGGAATCCAGTAAATTTTACAGCAGCCACATGCAGACTTCCATGGGGTGCATTTCAGACGACCTGTTCCCTGAAATGTACAAGTCCAAAAGGGGTCGGTCAAAACCCAAAGAGATGCCCCAGCTGGAAGGACCCCCCAAACGGACCCTGAAGATCCCTGCCTCCAAGGTCTTTTCGGTGCAGTCAAAGGAAGAGCAAGAACCTCCCGTGTTGCACCCCGAAGTCGAAATTCCTTCCCTTCGCCAGAGCCTCGTGGGGCAAGCCTTCCCGAAGAAGAGGGGTCGGCCGAAAAGGCAAATCCGTCCGGGGGTCAAGATGAAGCCCCCTGTTCTCTCCGCGGCCCCTTTTGTCACTGCCGAGAGTGCAGACAAGATGGAGGCTACGATCGACCAGCCGCCGAACGAAGACTTCTTCGAGATGTCGAGCCAGCTAGGCGGTCCCGAGGAAAATGGAGAGTCAAGTACCGGCAGCATGACCGACCACGAGGGAGAACCGGACTGCAAGGAGAGCAAGCGCAACAACGGGCAGCTGGTGAAAACCATCATCCGGAAAATCAACAAGATGAAGACGCTGAAGAGGAAGAAGATCTTGAACCAAATCCTTTCGTCGACAGCAGCGGAACCAAATAAGGGGAAAGTGCAATCCAAACTCCACACAACGGTCTCGACGCTCGCGGCCACGTTCAGCACGAAACTCGGCCAGCAGATCAACGTTAGCAAGAAAGGAACGATCTATATAGGAAAGAGGCGTGGCCGGAAGCCCAAAGGTAGTCTGAACAGCCTTTTGGCTGCTGGTTCAGCCAGTTTCACTGTCCTCGACAAATCAGCCCAACAGGCCGCAGGAGGAATGCTGGGACAAGCGGGGCCTCCGTTGCTACCTTCAGGTCCAAGTAATAACTCGGAGGTTCTTCCTTCACCGGTTTGTTCTCAGTCTTCTGGGACGAGCGGGGGGCAGAGCCCCATCAGCAGCGACATGAGCTTTGTGGAGCCCAATTCAGTGCCGTATCTGCATCTCCACAGTAGGCAAGGGAGCGTGGTTCAGACCCTGGCCATGAGGAAGGCCTCCCGAGCCAGGAGGAGGCTCTCCCCACCCACCCTCCTCCCCAACTCTCCATCCCACATGAGCGAGCTCAGCTCCCTGAAGGAAGCCACGCCATCACCCATCAGCGAATCCCACAGCGACGAGACCATCCCGAGCGACAGCGGGATCGGGACGGACAACAACAGCACTTCGGACAGGGCCGAGAAGTTCGGCGGCCCGAAGAAGCGCCGGCACTCCTTTGACCACGTTTCCCTGGTGCCCCCGGAGACCTCGACTGTCTTGAGCAGCCTCAAGGAGAAACACAAGCACAAATGTAAGCGCCGGAGCCACGACTACCTGGCCTACGACAAAATGAAGAGGCAGAAGCGGAAGCGGAAGAAAAAGTTCCCCCAGCTGCGGGGCCGGCAGGACCCCGGTTTCCTCGCTGAGCTGGAGGAGCTGATAAGCCGCTTGAGCGAGATCCGCATCACACACCGGAGCCACCATTTCATCCCCCGGGACCTGTTGCCCACCATTTTCCGCATCAACTTCAACAGCATCTACACCCACCCCACCTTCTCCCTGGATCCTTTGCACTACATCCGGAAGCCAGACTTGAAGAAGAAGAGGGGCCGTCCCCCCAAAATGCGGGAAGCCATGGCGGAAATGCCCTTCATGCACAGCCTCAGTTTCCCCCTTTCCGGCACAGGATTCTACCCCTCCTATGGAATGCCTTACTCTCCTTCGCCTCTCGCTGCTCCCATTGGCTTGGGCTATTACGGACGGTACCCCCCCACCATTTACCCTCCTCCCCCCTCTCCCTCTTTTACGACCCCACTTCCCCCGCCATCCTACATGCATGCGGGCCATCTGCTCCTCAACCCTGCCAAGTATCACAAGAAGAAACATAAGCTGCTGCGCCAGGAGGCCTTCCTCACAGCCAGCCGGGCCCCCCTTCTCTCTATGAGCACCTACCACCCCAGCGTCCCGCCCGAGATGGCCTACAGCTGGATGCTGGAACACAAGCACCGTCACCGTCACAAGCACCGCGAGCACCGCTCCTCGGAGCAGCCCCAAGTCTCCATCGATGCCTTGGCGCCCACGGGCTCTTCGCGGACCGTCTTGGAGTCCTTGAAGCGTTACCGGTTTGGGAAAGAGGCCGTGGGCGAGAGGTACAAGCATAAGGAGAAGCATCGCTGTCACATGACTTGCCCGCACTTGTCCCCTTCCAAGGGCCTGCTCGGCAGAGAGGAGCAGTGGGCCCGAAGGGAGCCAGCGGAAGCAACCCCCCTTACCTTGGGATTACCGACACCTTTGCAGATAGACTGTTCAGATTCTCCCCCCAACCTCCCGTTGGGGAGGTTCACTCCAAGTTCTGAGCCAGCCAGTAGTGATGAACACACCAACCTTTTTACCAGTGCAATAGGCAGCTGCCGTTCCACTGGCACTGCTGGTGCCAGTGGGCGTAAGAAACTGTCTGAGGGCTCAGGACTTTTCAGCCCCCAAGAAGCATCGCTCAGCCGACCCCTCCGAAAGGAGACCTTACCTCCTATTGAGAAGGCCGTGCAAGCCCTTTCAGGTAAGAGGCTACTTTTACAACCCCTGTCTTTAGAAGCTGAATAAAACAGGCTTTCTAAACTGATTCCTGAGGGGATAGATGGCTTTTCCTCCTTGGGAAGGAAGTCTTCAGGAACAGGCTAGGTTTGTAGACAGCCGAACATAAACCTAGATGAACGCAGGGTGTTTTGCAGCAGGTGATCCCCATCGATCAGGGTCAGGAAACTTGAACGGTGTCTGTTGTATTTGTTGGTTGTCCCATAACCTGGAGTTCTGAAGGGAGCTATTGCCGAGCAACCAAAATTCCTTCATCTAGAGTTAAAAATCCAACAGAGCTGGAGCTAAAACAAAGAAACAGTGCCCCCTCCATCACTGTTGCTAAACAAGTTGCAACGTAATTAATTAAGCAGAGGATGCCGCTGTATTGATCAAGCGAGGGGCAGTGGTCAAGATCCAAGTGTCTGCATGGGGGTTGGCAACTCGGTAGCCACCAGAGCCAGAAAATTCAACATACCAGGTTGCTTATACCTGGTCCAGCCAATCCAGAGGCTTCCCATTTCTTGTCTGCTGAGCGAACAAGATGGGCTGTTGGTCATCTAGCTCTTTCCTCTCTACCCTGTCACACAAGGCTCAGTGCCAGCACACTGACTGTGCAGCACCAATGGGTTTGGTGAAGGAGGTGGCGGCTCCCCGCCGTTAGGGATCCAGTCTTGGCTGCTGAGTGTTTTAATGGCCGAGGCCCCTAGACGTTTGATGCAGGCTCCTTGGCAATTATTCATTCAGCTTTGCAGTCTATAATTCTTCCTTTGCTCATCCTTTGCTTTCAGACAACTTCTGGTTTGGCAGGTGAGCAACTTTGGTTAACAGTTTTTTGGTGTTTTTTTTTTAATGCAGGGAGCTTAACTGTTAGAACCATACCCCGGTGGCTCTAATCAGTCCCACTGGTCCCTTTTTGACCCCTGTTGCTCACATTTCTATTAGAAAAGGCTGCCCAGATTTATTGGGGCATAACTTTTCATGGCGGTAGCCCACAGATACATTTATGTTGTCATAAATCTGTGCGCGCCTAAGGTGCTTGCGCTCTCTCTCTCTCTCTTTCTTTGTCCTTGATATAACAGACTTAAGACAGCTACCTCTGTGGAATTTGCCAGCCTTGCTCGAGTTATTATGATGCCTTTTTAAGAAAAGAAAAAAGGAACATAGCCAACGTCATGTTACCATTGTTGCTTTATTTCAGCCTTTTCTTTTATAATGTTTCTTGTGCATCCAGTTTGGAGATCCCTTGTGCAAGAAGGGCGGCTGTGCAAATAAATAAACACGCGCCCCCACGCTCACCCCCACGCTGGTGTTGCTGAGTGTGGCATCTCCAATGGGTTAAATGGAAGAGCAGGAGGAGAAAACAGGTTGCCTTGGTTAGTAGAGTTCTGGGAATTTCCTGCGGAATTCCATTAGCATGAGTGAGTGAACTTGGATTTGATGAGAAACAGCCCTAATTAGAAAGAAAACAGAGACGTTTCAGACTCTAGCCCACCGAGTGCCATCTCTGAATCACTGCCTCTCTGCTAGCGCATTTAATTGGTGAGTCAGATGAAAATGTATCGCCTTTCAGTAAGCGTCCTCTCTCCCCCCCCCAGCAATTGGAACCATCTGTTCTCTTAGCAGAAATGCTGTTTTAGTCCTGCACTTTACTCCTTCCCTTCCCTTGCCACATCTCAAGCACATTGGGCCAAAAGGACTTAAAAGTCTCCCCTCTGGAGCTTTAGATTCGTTTTGCACAACTCCGGCAGTGCCTTGCCACGGGCTACCTTAGCTTGGGGTGGTCAAGTCCAGAACCCAAGAAGCAACCTACTAGACTGGCCAAGCCTGGGCCGCTCTGGCCAACCCAGTGAATTGGGGATGATGACTGGACTTCTGGATGGCAACTGATTGCCCATCCCTGGTTTAACTCAACCTCTTTATGCCAACAACATGAAGCAAAACCTCCAGATCGTGAGTTTTGGGTCATGGATTCTCCCAGCTTGGAGGCCTCCAGGCACATTTCCCCAGCAAGAAAAGCCAGGGTAGACTCTAAAATGTCTGTGAGTTCTCCAGCAAGAAAGCTACCTTTCACATCTGTGGAAAAAAAAAATAAAAAAGCAACACTTGGCTTCACGTTCTGGCTGCAGCCATGTTTTGGTTTGTTCATCTAGAGGCTGGGCTGATCTAATTTTCCCTAGTCAAAATAAGTCACTTCAATGCGAAGAGAGCTGAGCATTTTTCTCCCACCTTCCCATCCCTCCTCTTCCCCGTGTTTTGCCAGTGCAGGCGTTCTTCAGCCCTGCCTGACTCATCTCAGATAACCGAACAGGTATGGAGGAAACGTGCCTGAGAGGGGGAAAAAGGGGCTTCAGCTGTCCCTTACCCTCATCCCCCCCCTTGGTTGCAAAAAAAACAATAATAAAAATAGACTCTCCTATGCCCCGCTGTACATGTGAAGGGGGCGGGGTGGGGCACGCAGCCAAGCAAGAACAGTGGCTGCCTCTTCTGTTACTGTGGCTTGCTCTCCAGATGTTGAAAACAATGTTCACAAATGAAGGAAATGGGTCAGATTTCTTATTCCTGTGCTGCTTAACTTCAGGGTTGCTTTTGTTGTATATATTATTGAGAGAAGGCTAAGTGACCCCTCCCCCGGCATAGTTTAGAAAAGAAGAACAGTTTGTGTGAAAGGAAGCTGGGGTGTCTTGACCCAGCTCAAAGGTGAGGGGAGCCTCAGACCCTCTACATCAGTGTTTCTCGACCTTGGCAACTTGAAGATGTGTGGACTTCAATTCCCAGAATTCCCCAGCCAGCCTTGGACCCTCCACATTAGTGTTTCTCAACCTCGGCAACTTGAAGATGTGTGGACTTCAACTCCCAGAATTCCCCAGCCAGCCTTGGACCCTCCACATTAGTGTTTCTCAACCTCGGCAACTTGAAGATGTGTGGACTTCAACTCCCAGAATTCCCCAGCCAGCCTTGGACCCTCCACATTAGTGTTTCTCAACCTCGGCAACTTGAAGATGTGTGGACTTCAACTCCCAGAATTCCCCAGCCAGCCTTGGACCCTCCACATTAGTGTTTCTCAACCTCGGCAACTTGAAGATGTGTGGACTTCAACTCCCAGAATTCCCCAGCCAGCCTTGGACCCTCTACATCAGTGTTTCTCGACCTCGGCAACTTGAAGATGTGTGAACTTCAACTCCCAGAATTCCAGGAGTTGAAGTCCACACATCTTCAAGTTGCCAAGGTTGAGAAGCACTGCTCTACATATTTTAAATGCAACTCCCAGCCACTAAGGGATGTTGGCAACAGTAGCTCAGTGTCACCTGAAGAGCCACAGGTTCCTCACATCTGGCCTAGCCCTTGAAGGAGCCTCACAAAAAGAGAGCTGAGGGGCAGGTAAAATATTAAATATGGCAGGTGTTGATTTCAGTGGAAAAATACATGGAGGCAGAAATGTGGAAAAGGAAGTGTAAAGAGAGGCAGGTGCTTAGTCGCTTGGAAGCTGGTTGGCTGGCATTTAAAGGCTGAGAGGGAGCAAAAACAAGGCAGGGAGAAAGAAGTGGTCCAAGGGGCAAGGGAGCTGATTGTAAACAGTAGCTATTAATATGTATTTGGGCTTCCTCTTCACTGGGCCAGAGGCCAAAAGGCTTCCTCTAATGATTGCAGTGGGAAGCGGGCACGTGCAAAAGAACTCTAGCTCCATGTCAGAACTCTTATTTTGTATGCCGAAGATCCCAAGTTCCCCGCATCTAGGCTTAAAAAAATCTAAATAAGTACTTAGGGAGCAGGTGAAAGGGAAGGCTTTTTTTCTCTGTCTTGGGCTTTAAAATGCTGCTGCCAGCAGAGCAGGCAGGATTTAGCCAGATAAAGCCATCATTCGATTAGGTATAAGCCCTATGTTTTATTCTGACGTTCTCAGCAGAGGACTCCCCGATCTGCATGGGGCTGCACCTATGTCCACGAGGGCTTCCTCAGTGTGTTATCCCTTTCACTGCCCCCGAAGGAAAGGTTTCAGAGCTGCTTCTGCCTGGCTGGATCTGCAAGGCTCCTCCAGGCTGCTCCTCTGACCGGGTTTTGGTGGCCAGCTCCACCTTTTCATCTTCCATGGCTGCTCTGCTTTGCAAAACCACAGCTGCATTTTCTGGTTGCTAGGCGGCTTGCAGCGGGTGTTTTTTTCTTGAGCTCTGAACGCCATCGTAGGGCCCCTCTAGAAGCTGACCCTGCTGGGGCCCATCCTCTAAAGACCCTGACAGCAGGACAGCCAGCAGCTAAAGCCTTGATGCTGAATCCCTGAATGAGGAGGAATCTTTCAAGCTGGGAATTTTCCTGCATTTCCTTGGTAGGGCAGATAAATTGCAGCGTCCCCCAACCTGGCAGTCTCCTTCTCCTTCAACAGCACGACCTTTGATTATCTTGGCTACGGAATATGGAAGTGGGTGCTCACCAGGGCACCAGGTTGGGGACCAGCTATTAGCTGCCTACAGAGGCGGCATCAGTGTGCAGTATCCTTGGACAGTTGCCAAGGCTTCGACACCCCAGCACAGATCCCTCAAAGACTAGTCAGCTGGGTTGCGAGGACACCTGGCATTTTAATCTCCCCAGAGGTCCCCGAGGGAGACTTCCAAGCCATCTGGCGCTCCCTGCTGCCACACTGCCCGTTTGGCTGCTCCGGCCACGGGCCTGAGCATTTGAGAACGAAGTCAGGGCGCCCTCCGCTACCTGGAATGATTGATTAGATGGAAAAGAGGGCTGGAATAATAGCATAAACGAAAGCTCAGCGTGCGATAGGAAGGCAGCCCAAGATCGGAACTAGTTCTGGTTAGGATCAAAGATGAGAACCGGAAGCCGGGAGTCATGAGAGACAGAGAAGCGGTTTTACCAGAAAAGGTCAGACAGAGACCCAGCAGCAGCTGGACACAAGGTGCCACAGATGCTGGCTGTTGCTAGACCCCTAGCCCTGAACTCCTTGCCACCTGGCAAGCGTTCTCTGCTCGTGAGCTTCCCACTGTGCCCACCTCTACCTTCACCTTAGTTCTTTGGGATGGATAAAGATAGACTTGGGGTGCGTTGCGAGTTACAGGGGCTCAGAAGAGGGGCCTGGAAGAGACCTGAGGACTACAGGTCTTCCTGCTGCGCTGTGGCTTTCTGTGAGGTGTGAAGCATTTTAGGATGAGACTTTTAGGTTGTGCTGGCTCGCCAGCTCTTGCTCGATAAGACCATTGCCTCCCCGCTTGTTCAAGAGGACACTTTGCTTGGTGTCCCTCAGAGGCGAAGCCTACTCTCAGAATACCTTTCGGTTCCTTTGGTTAAACCACCTTTTAGACCTCAAGCTTTGTTCATTGGCAGATGACATTAGAACCTGGGTAGAATCAGTCCCTGGAGAGAGTTGTCTTTCTGCCTCAGACGTTTCTCCCACCAGTGGTTGTCGAAACAGCAAACGTGAGGGTGGTTTGCGATGTTTATCTGCACCTTTCTCTCTGCCAGTTGATAAGCAGAGCAAACTCCCCCCCACTTTTTTGATCTGTCTTTTTTTCTTCACCAGGCACCCTTCCAGTTCAGGAAAAGCTCTCGCAGAGATCAGTGGAGGGCACCAATTCCAGCCCTTCCAGGAAGAGGTCTTCATCTGAGAGCACATCTTCCACAGGTAGATCTGATTTCTTTTCTAATATAAGCGTAGGAAGCTCTTCAGGTCTCACTGAATTCTAACTATAAGCCAGTGTTTCTCAACCTCAGCAACTGGGGTTGCTGGCTGGGGAATTCTGGGAGCTGAAGTCCACACATCTGAAAGCTGTCAAGGTTGAGAAACACTGCTATAAATTAACCCAACAGTGCCCCAGCAGGAAAGTGTTTGCAGCATTTGAGCTAGAGCCTACCTTTCTTGATCAGTTCCAATTTGGGGAGCTTTTTGACAATCTGGTTCACCAGAGATCAGTGTTGGCATTGGGTAGGAGAAAGTGCAACCGGAGGCAGGATTGCAGAATAGAGACAGAATGAAATCAAATAGTTGCAGAGTTGTATTGATCAGTAGCAATTGTCTTAAGCCTCCCACCCTTGAGTGAAACTATGCAAGAGTAATATTAGCCTGTAATGGCAAAAATAATAAAACAAAGTTATCAAATGTGTTAATTGGAAAAGGTGCCACCAGACTCCTGATTTTATGTAAGATTAATGATCAGTGGGTTTTACAGGCATGGTGAATTCTGTGATTCTTTTTTCCTGGTTGATTTTCAATATGAACTAATTTGGAAAGAAATTCTAACGGTCAGGAAATTACTGACTCCTTTGTCACAGTAAAGAAAGTCAGGAACACCACCCCAAAGTGAGGAACAAAAAATGTTCAGGATCATGTACAATAATAACCAGAATCAGAATAATAAAATAATATAAAATATAATAAAAACATAATAAGAATAAGAATCGGGACGATTAATTGAGCAATCAGTATGAAAATAGCAATTTGCAGAAAGCAGCAGGGACTAACACACCCGTTAAAAGGCCAGATGGATAAAAGTATTTAAAGAACACAGCATTGCAGAATTAGCAAACGAAAAGGCCTGAGAAAGTAAAAATGCCCTTCCCTTGTGCTATAAAAAGAGAAGCAGCCACCGGACCTCACTAGAGAAGGGTTTTCAACAGCGTGCTGGCCTCGGTTGAATCACTGGATGTCCTGTCTTCCCTTTAAGAAGGGAAAGATGGGCTAATTTTTGGCTCTCTTCTTACCAGCCAGCTTCAAAAATTGGTTAGCCTTAAAGAGGAGGATGAAGAGGAAGACAGGAGCAGCCATATTTGCCATTGCTGCTTCTCTCAGATCAACAGGTTAATTGCCTAAAAGCCACATACGCCAAGGGTCATTTCTCCCAGATGGTTAACCACTCTCTTCCTTGGCTTCTTCACACTGCCTGATTCCCCCCTCCCTCCCTCCCTCCCTCCCTCCCTCCC